CGCGGCCTTTCCCCCCCTTCCTGTTGGCAGCGGTTCGCGAGCGGGCCGCGCCACCCACTCGCCTTTCTCCCCCTTTCCGGCGCGCCTAGAATATTCTCGAATATTCCAGAAAGATCATATTATCGAACGCAAAGATGACGGAGTCCGACGAAGTGCACTTACGAACCGAAATACTTTCTCAATCACAGCATCAATCAAAACACCGGTAACGCGCGTAATGTTTACGAAAGTCACGGAAGCGCGGCACATGACAGGGCGCCAAACCATTGAACAAAAAGTCATCTGCCCACCAGAGTAGTAAACACACTCGCGGAATAGTCTGCTGGGGAGCTTCCGTGCGCGTGCGCCACTACGCCACGCCTTATCTCTCTCGCGCGAGACTCCTTTCACTTCTCTTTATGCTCCGCGCTTCACGCCCCCTATAAATCACCGATTGCGCCCGCACCAGAACGCGGTAATCGGCGCACCTCTAAACAATCGCGACCTCCACGGCGGTCGGTCTTACCCGCGAGTGCGGCGTTTCTCGAATGTTTTGATCCTGTTTCTTGCCGGCGGAAGATCAACACAGCGCAGAATACACGCGTGGTGGCGAGTTATTTCCGTAATTCTCGTCGATTAAAACACTTGGCCGCCTTACGGCCAATGTTCCGTTCGATCGGACTCATTGATCAAAACATCGATCGCTTTCGTTAACGAGCGTTTTCTCATAGAATCGTATTGTACGCGAGGATCTGATAGCGCGGATTAGTATCGATATACTATCGTCGATGACAGGTAAATATCCGGAATGACAGATGAAGCAGATAGGTATCAGAATGCTGAGTTCGGAAACAAACGATACGTTATTTTCAGGTACGTGAGATCATTTATTGTATAGAAGCTTTCTGATTTTAATACATTGAACGCCGTGACAGCACGGGCATCCGGCAATATGGCTACTATAATGTCTCATTAAATTACGTATGAATCCGATTAACGTAGTACTCAGTAAACACATAACTGCTATATAACATAGAAATAACAAAATTACATGTTATGTCTGTATTATATAGCAGTTATTTGCTCTGTATTCGTTAGGTAGTTGCATAAATAATCTTGCCTAAAGAGCCAGCATTCATAATCGGTTATATTTGACAAAGTTCAGTGTGACAATTATAACTGCATGAATCTGTGATCGCTCGTTTAACTTGTATTTGTATTTATTTCATACAAAAAAAAATATCGATTTAAATAGCTGAATAACGACCCACGAGTACGAATCTATAACAAATTATTGTAAGCATTATATTAATTATGTAGCTGACTTAACAATAAGTAGAATATCACACGCGATAAGTAGATATGAAATAACCTAGTAAAAATTAATGATCAAGTATAATTAATGGATATATAAAGCAACAAATTTTGGTTTTTCGTAATCTGTCACTATTAATTGTTTTTCACATTTTAGCTTTAGAAATATATCTATTGTTTATTAACGTCGTGGGATATTTTACTAGCACTCGCGTGGATTACGACTCGATCGGAGAAATTTTGCGTAAATAATGTAACACACGATATGGAAAAGTACGCGTCGCGCACAATATAAAGCAATGAGTAATAAAGAGCTATGTCATTTCATGTTGAGTGTGGAGTGTTTTCCATTGAGTAGCTGATCGGTGACAACAATCAACACTTTTAAAACAAACATATCGCGACACGCGTTATTTACATATAATACGTGTAAAACACGTGCTTATATCGACATCACATTTATTAACACTAATCTTTCCGATATGATTGTCAGTATTATTACGAAGCGATCGGGAGACAGGATACAGAAAATATATATATCCAAGTCCATTCAGTTATTTATCATATCCGACTTTTACGGATGTTTGACAAACTCGCCAAAAGTAAGCGGATATCTCGAGTCGAAATTCAAACCCAAACTCATAGTCCGTCACTATTTAATGAATAATTAAGTATATATGAATCTTCAATTATTCGTCAACGTGTGTACAATATCAGAAAGTTCCTCACTCTATTTTTATCACATATAATTATTATTTTTTATTATATAATATAATATAAAAATATATGTAATCTCGCACATTGTATTTTTTCCTCTTTTTTTTCATATTTCCATATCGAGTACCTTTTTATTCTTGATTGTCTAGACCGAACAAATTTTTTATTGTTAAACATTAATGAAGAAACGATATTTTTATTTCAGATCTGACAGATCTTATGACTGCATCACGAAGGCTGCTGTAGTTCCGACGGGTGCTGTACCAGAGGATTCGGGCCAAGCAGGGTCGGCTTGAAGGTAATTTTGCAAGTTTCCTGTAATTTCTTTTAACCTTTTGTGATCTGAAGCGGAGATATAGTAATCGATATAATTTACTTACGATCGCAGAGAGTTAATCTGTTCTTATTTATTTGCATTCATTCTTTAAACCAAGTTTTTAAATCTAATCAAGTGAATTTCTATTTTTTGTTCTAGATTTGAAGCGGAACGTGGCTGACTCTGACTGCAAGTCGTTTTGGTGAGAGAAAAAGAAAAGAATTTCTGGTGAGAGAATTAGATTGTAGGATTTAAGTGATATCGTTGAAATTAATGCGAATTGCTTGTAGATTTTTGCATGTTGAATTTTTCTATGTTTTTGCACACAGAAAATACATTCCGCTTTCAAGTAAATGTTATTTTCTTGAAGAATTTCATAAGTTTATATATATAAAGTTTATAAATATATTTCATAAGTTTATATTATTTCATAAGTTTATATTCATAAATCTATAAATTTATTAAAAGCATCACATTTATTTAAAATACATTCTGAATTTTAGTAAATTTGGAATTTCAATGAGAAATATTAAAATTAAAACAATTCAATTTGCTTGTTACGTTAAGTTAACCAATATTTTTCAACTTTTCATCAATTTTTACTTGGATAAAGTTTTAAATTACTATCGTGCTTAAATTTATTAAGAAAATATTCTTTTGGATATAACTTAAAGGAAGGAAAGTAAATTGATCAATCGCTTTTCTTAGCACGATATTTTTCTGTGTGTACTTGTGTTGTATTTGTGCTGTTTATACAAAATGTACTACTCGAAAGAATTAGGATGTCACTTTGTGAAAATCAATTTTTAATAATCTATGATAAAAATATCTATATAATATTATGTAAACGGAATATTTAACTATTTTACTTTTATTTATAGTTGCGCTATAGAATTATTCCAAGTATTATTCATTCAGTATGGTCCTTTAATTATTTCGAGTAGTAAATATATTGTGCAAGAAATTTGCGCTACCACACGCTGAGTTCGAGGTTATCTCGCTCGCGTAAATTGGAATTTTTCGAACGCCGCGGTTATCAACTTATTTTTTTGCGTATTTATTTTCTCAATAAAGAGGAATCTTATTAAATTCACTTCGCAAAAATATTGCGAAGATCAGCTTTGACAAGTAGTATGAAGTTATTATGCGTAAGAAACTTTGCAATACTCACAATTATGTCGTGTGCTATATTAATAGATTTTGCGATTGATTTTCAAGAGTAATGATTTTTAATATTCGCATTGTAAAAAATTGATTTGATCGTAAATTTCGACCGATATATTTCGTTATAGATATTTTTACACGCGATTTCCACGGTTCACCAGAGTTAAGAATTTACCTGAATTGCGATTTTTTATTGCGATCCACGATTCGATTTGTGAAATACGCGAATATAGTATATCATATCTGAATAAACACCCGTTAAATAAATTTGTGCATTTTAGTTTTTGTTAATTGAGTTTGTACATTTTGTTTCGAAGCAAATTAAAAATTTTCAGGGCGTTACCGTTAAAATATTTATTGATAAATATAAATACTCTGCTTAAGTCATAAATCTCGACCGCGTCGCGAGTGCAATCAACGTGGGACGACGCAACATAAGAGCTGGTGAAGTTCAGGATATGAAGCAGTGAACCTGGCTGGACATGTTGGTGGATCAGGATGGACATCGGTGGATTTCAACGAGCAATGATGAGTTATCAATTTACCGCTCACAAAGAGCTATTTCTACACAGAAAAAAAAGATTTGCTAATATATGGACAAAATATTAAAAATATTAACTGCAGGAGTAAATTTTCTTGCTTTCATAGTAAAAGTTATTTAGTTGTGATAACTAAAAGATTTGTTAATATATATATATATATATATATATATATATTATATGCTAATATATCTATTGCTAATATTAGCTAATATATATATTGCTAATATATATATTTAATAATATATTAGCAAATCTTTTAGCTATCACAACTAAGTAACTTTTACTATGAAAGTAAGAAAATTTGTTCCTGTAGTTAACGTTTTTAGTTGTCCATATATTAGCAAATCTTTTTTTTCCATGTATAACGTAGTGCATGCCGCAAATTCGCATTGATTTCTAACGAATAGAAATAGAAGTAGAATTTATTAGAAAAAATTGCAATTGTGTTGATATATGTAGGATAAGCGATGTTATCCAAAATGTCGCCTCTTGTTTATTTCTACACGAAGAAAAATAATTTTACTCTTTTAGCAAAATCGTCGTTGCTATTGCATATTCGTAGTGACATCAAAAAAACTTAGTTGACGTAACTAATTTTATAAATTATCAGAGCAGAAGTAGTTTTGTTGCCAGGATAGAAAAAATTTGTTGAGTATATTTGTTCTAAGAATCACGTTAATTTGCTATTGATGCAAAATAATGTATCATTAGCAAATTTATTTGTTATCAGAGCGAAACTGCAACTGTTTATATAAATCCATTATGGTTCTTATAGCAAAATAATTTGTAGCTTCAGCAAATTATATCCAACAAATAGTGATTAGTACTTTTAGCAAATCTTTTTGCTGTCCATATAATAACGAAAAGATTTTGCTAGACCAGCAGAAAATTTGCTAGGCCAGCAAATTATTTTTCTCCGTGTATTTATTTTTTGTTTCTTTCGACAAACAAGCAAATAATTATGATAAAACTTTTGATTTCCAATAATTTATCGCGTCGACTGACATTTTTGCGTTCACTGAGAAAAAAATATTTGATACTCGTAAATACATATAATCATATAGAGAAATAATGATTATAATTTATGGTCGAGAAGACTATTTTTTTTATTAAATTCTACTATAATGTTAATGATTAATATATTTTGCATATGTTACATAAAATATATGTATATGTTATTGTGTGAAACTCAAGTATAAATTACCTAAATACTGTACAGATTGCCTATCAGTTCTTATATATAATGCCTAGACATTTCATATATAATGGTAGATATTTTATACATTGCCGGACTTTTTACTTTACCTGTAACATATTTTATACATATATATACATATTTATAAAAATATATATATATGTTACTACTACTATTTTCATGTTGCAACAACCAAAAAATATGGGGTCATAAGTAATTCTAGTTAGATCCAGTTTTTCTTGGTTAGACCATTTTTTTCTCAGTTTCTTGAACGCATACTACAGGTATTGAATCTGACTAAATTGCAAATGTTTATTGAAAACTCGGAAACAAATGAGGAGATAATGAATACGTGCATACACTGATGTTTGAACACTCGCATTCATTCGTTCGTTGTTTTTTCGCCCAGGACCCAAATTAACGCAATTATTCACGCAATTCTGAACACTTACTGTATCATTTTGTCGAATTTCTTCCGTATCGTTACTTCCTGCGATTCGAAAGGTCTAAAAGGCTTCTCATTGAGAATATTAATCATCTCCGTGATATTTTTATGATCTATCCATATGCAGATTTGTTTGTAGCCCGCGACAAACACGGTTAACATCATATATAAGGAGTCGGTGAGGTCGTCGGAGTTATCGACGTTTAGTAGGATATTCATAAATTGAGACATCGCGAACACGAGTAACGAGGAGTTGAGAAACATCGCGTAGCTTTTGTAAACGATATGCTTAAAGAGCGATGTCCACGATAGCGGTTGCCAGAATCCAGCGGCTGTACATATCACGAGTGTGAATTTTAACGCGCGCATCTTAGCTTAGTTAATTCAATTTTGCTACATCGTGTCGACACTTTATCGTATTCGAAATATCTATTTTAGGAGAAATAAAAACGGTGTACTAAAAATAATGTCTTAACAGAAACGCTGAGAGTGATTAAAACAGAAGAAATAGCACATCGAAATTTGTGGCTTTACGCCAGGCGGAAAGTCTTGCTGCGTCACAAACGTATACATATATCTTTTCCCGAGATTAAGCAACAATTTATAAATTCTATCTGTCAAGCTTTCGAATATATTAATACATGCACATTGAATTTACTTCCACTGATTACTTTACACCATTAGCATCTGAATTAATAACTGATTTCAATCACTCGCGTAATTCCCGAAAACAGTATTTGCTGGGAGCTCTCTTGTCGTGTGTTAAATTAAGCAGAGCTATTTTACAGAAGACTGGAATACTTCTCTCTATAGCTTGTCTATAGTCGTTGCGACGCGATTGTATTCCCTTTTTTATCAGTCTCTGTTATTATCGTAAACTGCGACTGCAGTAATGTCTTCTTAGCGAAATGTTTTTTTTATAGTCCAAGTTCGTGTCGTTTGTATGAAATACAGGCTTTATGAAAATATATCGTTATTTCAACAAAGAGACAGCGGAAAGCAGAAGCGAAACATATATTCAATATAATATCCTCAAATTGTTCTCGATAAATTGTTAACTGTCAATCGCTTTCAACGATATTTTAATAACGGATTTCGTTCTTACGAATCTACGTGAAAACGTCGTATTTATTTCTCTATCTTCTGCACTGTCCGCAATTTTATAAGATATACATATATATGTATCTCGAATATTGGTTAGAGTGCGTCGTCGGGTATGATTCACCTCTACAAAATCTTAAGCAGTTGCTTCATTGTATTTTAAGAGGTAATACATCCTTGATTATTATGTTCATTTAGATTATAGTCACGTTGGGATGACATACAGTCATTTTGGGATACAGTCATCGTACGTGTTCCAACGCATGTTGCATAACGTTAAAGTTCCGGTTTGCTTCTTTTTTTTGTAGAATTCATAGACAGGGTAAAAAGGAAAATTTCACTAGTAAAATGTAAATTTTTCCAATACATTAAAATACTTAAAGAATTTTATATATTTATAGGAATCTTTTGTAAATATTTTTTTACAATGTATTGAACTGAATGCTCATTCAATAGAAATAAAGCTGCATAGGAACGTATCAGCAGAAAATTTGCATTATTGAGTCATGTTAACGCGCTGCGTTAACATGACTCAATAATGCAAATTTTCTGCTGATACGTTCCTATGCAGCTTTATTTCTATTGAATGAGCATTCAGTTCAATACATTGTAAAAAAATATTTACAAAAGATTCCTATAAATATATAAAATTCTTTAAGTATTTTAATGTATTGACAAAAAAATATTTATTTAATATCGATGATAAACAGGTCGATACATTTTCTTTTGCGCTTCTACGTATCCTGTATTTTGTCTCTTATGCAATTTATATCAACGCAAACAATACTAAATTTAATGCCTTCCTATTCATGCGTGCGTTTGAGTACATTGAAAACAGAATATGATGTTTTGAGTACCTGCAAAAGAGATTACGATACACTTGAGTGATTTTCACAGTGGCAAGTGGCAATTCTTAGGAGAGACTGGATCAAATTGGCTCAAATTAGCTCATTTTGGTCTTATGTTTATTTGTCATCACATTTATTGAGAGAAATGATAGAAAAGGGGTTGTAAAACTTCCTTTTAGAACATAAATATTGTTCTTATGTTGTAAAAGGAACATTTTGCGATTGCTTCTCTATTATTTTTCTCACAATAAATATACAGACAAAATGCATAGCGATAAGACTTGAGTCAACTTGTCTTGGTCTCGTCTACGGCTTTAAATGATCTTTGCTGTGATACTAACGGATACAAACGAATCAAGGTTCATCGTGATGACTACCGCGCTAGTAAATTCAATAGAAGAGGCTGAGCGTTTCATAATCAGTAGAAGACTCTTTTTAATACTGTTGTCAAGTGCCATCCACTCCATCTTGTAAACGTTATCTGCCACCTGAAGACTCTGAAAGTAAAGACGTAACTGAAAGTCGCGTATCATAAACGGAACAAGAAGAAAAGTTTAATACGTTAAATGTCATATGGATTTCGATTGATTGTACAAAAAACAGCTTAACTGATGATTGAATTATTAAAAATATGGCAAAAAAATATAATTCGAGATGCATATATCTTTTCCTCGTGTTCTCTATCGTCTTTATTGACCATACACATAACTTTTTAAGCGCAATTTTTCACTTATATATATTTTGGCTCTTATTAAACTCTTATTTTGGCTATTTTGAACTCTTTTTGATCGATAAAAATGCCTCTTTATATATAACTAAAAATCAATCAGAAAGTCTGAGCCATATTTAGAGACATTTTTATCGATAAAAGAGGACTTAGAATAAGAGTCTTTACACTGAGAAAAATGTTTGGTAATATTTGTAATTACGTAAGCACATTTGTAAGCACGTAGAGAAATAATCGCTATAAATTATAATGAAAAAATCACTTTTTTTTGTAATAAATTCCTTTTTAATGTTAGTGATAATAAGCTTTTATATATATATATATTAGGTGAAGTAAAAAGTTCTGAGCGTTTTCCGCTAAATGTCTTTAGTGAGCCATATCTCACGATGTATACATCGCATCGGGTCATACTATACGGCGATTTAAAGGTGACATTACGCTTCAAAAAAAGTTCTGACAGTTTTGTGTTTGGTCAAGCCAGTTGTGTGTTACAGCGTTCCAAAATGGAGGTAAACAAAGAGAAAATTCGATACATTCTTCAGTACCACTACGACCAAGATGAAAAGGCGGAGCAGGCGGCCAAAAAAATTTGTGCTGTTTATGGACCCAATACAGTATCGAATGCAACAGCAAAGCGGTGGTTCCAACGATTCCGTTCTGGTAATATGGACGTCGAAGATGAGGCACGCTCTGGTAGGCCAATCGTCGAAAATGTCGATAAAATCATGGAAATCGTCGAGTCGGACCGGCATGTGAGCACTTATTCCATTGCCCAGGAACTGAAGATTAGC